CACTCGGCCTTTTCATCCATCTCTCGTTATTGCTTGCGCGCGATGATCGTGCCGACTGACGTTCGCTCGAAATTTAGGACATTTTTACCTGCATCGTCTCGTCCATCGTCCCCGCGCTCGGGGACCCATCCAACTCCTACAATGCTCAGCACATCTACGTCTTGAACTCTCTTGCGGAGGTCAAGAGTATCGTGCTGATGACAGATCTGGACCATCCCGATTCATTGATCATCCCTCTATTTACGAGCTGCTTCGACATCGTCTCTGGGTCCTCTAAAACGTCTACGGGGGAGGAGGTCGCCAAGAATGTCGAGTTCGACATGACGCGCCTGCTCGTGACGGTTATCGACGAGACGCCTGTTCTTGCCGCCGATGTGGTCGATGTCATAGTGGCCCAATTTCTGCGCATCGACCCCCGTGCCATGGAGGCGCCGAACAAAAGAGGGAAGAGAGGCGATGCGCCGGTGGATGCGAAACAGGGAACGCTTCTTCTGAAAGACTACCCTCCTGCGTACAATATGGCCAAGGCCATCTGTCAAGCATGCCCGGAGAGGATGACGAGCCACATTAGCCAGTATTTCAACAACGTCATCATTGATGCGTCTGCGGAGGGTGCGAATGGATCCTCGAAGGGCGGCCATCGCAAGCCCAATCTGGACGATTCCGACGAGGAGGGAGAAGATATCAAGGAATTGAGCAAGGCGCACCGCCTCATCCGAGAACTGTGGAGAGCATGTCCCGAGGTGTTGCAGAACGTGGTTCCGCAACTCGAGGCGGAATTGTCAGCAGAGTCGCTGTCCTTGCGTCTCCTGGCTACCCAGACCATCGGTGATCTTACGGCAGGTATCGGGGTTGCTGGACCACCCCCTCCGCCGCCGATGGATCCTGCCGCTTATCCGCCGGTGGCCATAGAGGAGTACGCGCAGACGATCCCTCAACCTAGTGTTCTTCTCACCCCCTTCTCTCCGAAACCCTTCTCGCAGACACACAGCTCCACTTATGAAAGCTTTCTGAGTCGCCGGCTGGACAAATCCGCCTCAGTAAGAGCTGCTTGGGTCACCGTTGTCGGCCGGATTCTGCTGACATCTGCGGGTGGCTCTGGCTTGAGCGAAAGCGAAGAGCAGTCGCTCATCAAACATATCGCCTCGATGCTTCGCGATGCGGACGAGAAGGTGCGGGTGGCCGCCGTCGATGCCATCAGCAACTTTGGCCTGACCCAGGTCGTTAACAAGTTGGGCGCCAGTGGAGGCTTTTCTACCCCTGATTCCGTCCTCTTCATCCTCGCCGAGCGGGTCAAGGATCGCAAGCCACAGGTCCGCGAGCACGCAACGCAGACCTTGGCTCGAATCTGGGCCGTTGCAGTGGGTGAAATCGAGCAGGCGAACGAGCCAGCAGTCACTCTGCTCAAGGATGGACCCTCCAAGATCTTCGATGCCTTCTTCACCAATGATCCTGACATTCACGTCTTGATCGATCGCGTGCTCTTCGATATTCTGCTTCCGCTCAACTATCCTCCCGTCAAGAGTAAGCTGACGCGGAGTAGCTCGAGCCAGTCTCAGAAGCAGAAGGACTCGCAGGCCTCGGAAGGCGATGGAGATATCGACGTTGACAAGATTCGGGCCCGTCGCATACTCACCCTTCTCAAGAGCCTCGATGAGAAGGCGAAAAAGGTGTTCTTTGCCATGCAAGCCCGTCAAATATCTATGAGGACCGCGATGACGGTCTATCTGCAGGCTTGCGAGGAGTACAATGTAAGTTCCGAGGCAGTCCCTTTAAATAAATTCAACTGCTGATGCCTTTTGTTATAGGGCGGCGTGATGGAGAAGGACCAAGAACGGATCAAGGCTCAGTTGAGCAAAGTGATTGACACCTTGTCCAAACTTCTCCCTGACCCGTCGCGGACATCTGCAGATCTCTGGAAATTCGCCAAGGTGCACGACCGGCGTGGTTACCAGCTGATCCGGTTCTCAATGGCTGCGGTCAGTGATTACCGGACCGTAGTCAAAGCCATCAAAGAACTGGGAAGGAGGTTGCAAAGCTCCAACAATTCCTCCCTGCTTGATACTCTCACGCCTCTCTTGTATCGCTCCAGCTCATTGGTGTTCAACAGAAGCCATATTCCAGCCATCATGAGTCTTTCAAGAACGGATGAGAATGGCTTGGCTAACCCTGCCCAGGAGATGTTGCGGGAGATCTCTTCTCGAAATCCCGAGGTACTGGAAGCGCAGGTCCAGGAAATGTGCAAAGATCTGGAATCGCAGACGCCCAGCTCCTCCACGAAGGATGGTGCGGGCACCGAAGAGATCCTCAAAGCATGCTCTGGTTTCGCAAAGAAGCTCCCATCGAAGCTTCCCAAGGAACGGAAATTTCTCCAGTCATTGGTGAGCTACGCACTGCATAGTCCGTCACCTAGAGCGGCTAAGCATGCTGTTTCTATTCTCATGGCTGTTGCCGACAAGAAGGAAATGTATGCCAAGGATCTGATACAGAAATGCGTGTCCGACTGGGCTTACGGCTCTGATCGGTTCCTCACCAAATTGGCTACCTTGTCCCAGCTGAACCTTTTGGCTCCGCGGGAGGCAGATGATGAGAGTGACGCTATCATCTCGATTGCCGTCAACAAGATCCTTTTGACCAATCGCTCTCCTCAACCAGATGCTGGGTATGCGTGGTCTGATGTAGTGGATGATGAAACAGCAGCCAAGGAGTGGGCTCTGAAGATCATTGTTAATCGCCTACGCGCAAAGGATGGCTCGGATGACGAAGAGGACTTCCGTGCTCACGCCGGACCGGTCTATGATACTCTAAACAAACTCGTCATGAACGACGGCGAATTGTCTAAGAAGAAGGACACGCCCGCAACGCAAAAGTCACGGCTACGTCTATTGGCAGCCAGGTCACTGCTTAAGCTCTGTGCGTCCCATGGACTTTGCGACCAGTTGCTTACCCCGCGGGATTTCAACTCGATCGCTTTGGTCGCTCAGGACCCAGTCCTCGAGGTGAGAAGTGGATTTATCAGCCAGCTCAAGAAAAAGCTTGTACAGAAAACGCACTTGAGCTACCGTTGGTACACAGTTCCCTTCCTCCTCGCCTTTGAGCCTATCGCCAGCTTGAAGGACAGCACACTTACCTGGCTGCGGTCGCGAGCTTCATTCTTCTCGCAACAAACCAACGGCAAAAGAAGCGATCAACAGACGGTCATGGAATCCTTGTTCTCCCGTCTACTTTCCCTTCTCGCCTACCACCCCGACTATCCTCCAGCTGAAATGGAAGAGTCTACTCGGGTAGCCGAACTAGTCGACTTCTCCCGCTACATTCTCTTCTATCTGCAGGCTGTGGCCAATGAACATAACCTGTCACTGATCTTCCACATCGCACAGCGTGTCAAGCAAACACGAGACGGTATCACGAAGACTGACGAGATGAGCACCCGTCTCCACACGCTATCAGACCTAGCCCAAGCGACCATTCGTCGCTTTGCGGACATCTACTCGCAACAGCGCAAGTTTGGAGGCGCAGCTGGCGGCACCAACATCCTGCAGACTTACCCCGGCAAGATGGGAGTGCCAAGCTCGATCTTCGCCCCGATGGGTAGCCACCGTGAGGCGCAAGAGGTTGCAGATAAGAACTTCTTCCCGGAAGAAGGCGAAGACTTGCTGGATCGCATCGTGCGATCCGTCATGAGGACTAAGAGCGGGTCCCACGGTTCAGCAAAGAAGAGAAAGCCCGAATCGGCTGAAGCAGGCGGCGACGCAAGTGCTACGAAGAAGGCGCGGAAAGACAAGGAGAAGAAGCCCGCTCGGCCGCGCAAGTCGTCCGGCTCCGCGGGAACCACCAGGACCCCCAAGAAAAAGAAGAAGGACGACGACGGTTGGTCCTCGGATGAGGGAGCTGCCAAGAAAGCGAGCACGGCAGCAAGGAGACGCAGCAGCAGAGGTGCATCCCGGAGAGTTAGTTACGCAGACCGGGACAGCGATGAAGATGATATGGAAATGGACGAGTGGGAGGAAGAGCAAGCCGATGAGCAAGAGGAAGCAGAAGAGGAAGAGGGTGGTGCCGACAGCGAGGAGGACAACGACAGCGTCGACCTTCCAGACAAAGAAGCTGCCCTGGACGAGATTCTAAGCGACAGGGAAGACTCGCCTCTCTCATCCCCGCCGCCTACATCCCCGCAGAAACCCACAGAGCAAGCACTTTCAAAACCGAGTGGCAATGGCAAACGAACCTCGACTCTACCAAACCGGCGATCCTCTCGAAGAGGATAAGAGGATCTGGATACCCTCTCTCCCCTGAGTGTTTAGCTAGCATGTATGTATCAAAAACCAGCGCGAAGTGAACATGTGATATTTGCAGCGTCAGTTCGAAATGATTTATATTGTACCTTTCATTGACTTGACTTGTCGGAGTCGTGTGATCCTCTGTATCTTCCTTTCTACTTATGAGTCTTTTGAAGTTGCCCCCCAAACCTACCACATTGTTAAGCAATCAATCCATCCCTTTTTCATACCATTGAAGCAACCTGAACTGGAACTGAATTTGAGTCAAATCGAATTGTGTATACCCATCTCCATCATCTATCTATCTTCTTTCAAATCGCAGTTTATCTCATTTCTCTTGTCCAGTTCTACCCCTCCCGCAGGCAGTTAGGATATGTGTGCATGTATGTATGTATGTACTCCACATGTATGTTGTCTATCTATCTATCCATACATCCATCCATCTATCTGTCTTGACTATCTGTCTGTCCGTATTTCTTCATTTTCATCTTCCTCTCTTTCCTTCTTTCCCTAATTACCTGTATAAAACTAATCCTACCATTCTCATCACTCTTCTCACTTGACCCCAGGATGATAAACCAAACTAATAAAGAGTATATAAGTAAATATCAAGTAGCAAGTCACGTCACATCAACTAGGCGATGGCGATTTTGGAATGTGACGGGGCTTTCTATCTACTAAACTACCACTACTATTAAACTGCAATTACTAGTAAACTGGTTGGTCCCTGTAGTGAAGGACTGTATGCTCAGCTGGTGGGCGGTGTGCAGCGAAGTAGTTGTTGTATTATTACATGAACTGAATCTACAAATCTATAGTTGGTATCTGGATCTACTAGAGAACTTTACTACGGTATGTGATATGTCACCGAATATGTATTCAAGGGTGATGGAATTGCCAAGTAGTCGATGATTCTCTTGCATCGCTGCCCAAGAAGCACAACAATAACGAAGAGGTCCCGTTATTTACGCCGACCATGAGGTAGGTAGGTAGGTATGGTGAAATGACAGGGTGTAGAGGAAGGAAGTAGCAGAGAAAGAGAAAAAAGGTGAGTATCCATCTTCCAAGGCATTTCTGATAGTAGAGACATCCAACAAGATGGAAAATGGGATAGGATAGAATGGATGGATGAGAAACCAAGAACAATCGCTCAGTCATGTACATACACAGACATCAATGATTTGAAGTAGACAGATAGTCAAGAGGATGATGCCAAAGGCGGGAACAATGAGGAGTGAAATAAAGGAAGGGAAAGAAGAGTATAAAGTGTACATTGATGCGGGTTAATGAGTGAAAAATAGACACCCCCTGCTCCATCATTCAATCATTAATTACTATGATGCATTGCCCCCGGTTGCGGCTACGGCTGCTGTTTTCGCAACTCGTTCTTCCACCCGCTCTTTGTGTTGGCGGTTCCGGAGATGTACTTCAAAATTGTCGACTGTCGTGCCGGGTCCTGGAGTGTACAGCTTACCCGGACAGTCGTGGCAGCGAATGCGAGGGAGGTATTGGTATTTCAGCTTGTGGCCTGGCTGACTGTTGGAGTTTGCTACCGGCAGCATGGTTTCCGTGTCAACAGCGGTGTAGCGCATGACCCCTTCGAAAGAGTCGTTGGGATAGGAGAGTTTTAAGCGTGCGAGTCCCGCTGCAAGCCAACTTGGCGGCGGGGGCTAAATAAAATCATGTTAGTATGTGGCTGTCTGCGGCACTTCTTCGGTAGCCAGACATTGCGGCCCGTGTGGAGGTGACGAGATGGAAGTAATAGGTCGTTAGTTACTCACCCCGGGGACTCCTGGCTGAGGGGGATGAGGAGCATCTACGGCTCCGATCTGTTGGGCGGGGACTGGTCGTTGCCCGGGAGGAGGAACGCTGGGTACACGGACTTCAGGTTGGGGAGCGGCGGGCGGAGCCATGGGGTTCGGGGTGGGAGTCTGAACTTGGGGTGTGCTCTGCTGCGAGGCTGGTTGTGCTGCCGGGGTCGCAAGTCCTTGTATTGACTGCAGGCCATGCGTGAGGAATTGCCGGAATTTCTCCTTGGAGATCTTGAGCTTGACGAGCAGCTTATCCGGCTCTTCTACAACGCTCTCCTCGCGAATCTCGCGCCTGCGACTTGCGGCTCTCGCCTCGTTATGTGGCTCGGGCGTGGCGGACTGGCCCAGACTCGCTCGCAGTGCCGCATGTGCCGCGCTGGCAGCTCCTCTCATGCCTCGTGTACGTGCCGTTCCTTGAGCTAGGTGAGGCCCGATAGCAGGAGAGCCGGTGATTGACGATTCGTCACTGTCGGACTCCTCGGACTCCTCTCCGGTATCCCGCAAGCCGACGGCAGCGCGCCTAGAACGGCTCGAGCCCGACCGCTTGTACACGTTGCTATCCTCCAGGGACGCTGCGCAGTTGGGTATGACTGTCGAGACGAGCATGGTCCGGATAGTGCGTTGACGATCCTTGAGGTCGGGCAGTGCGGGTCCACCACGCCGGTTGACAGACCGCTTCTGTCGGCGTTGATCTCGCGATATCGACACCTCAGTCCGCTCGAGCTCCGTTTCGTTCAGTTCGTATAGGTAGGGAGTGAATTCCTTTGCTGCCTGGAAAGGTCGGAAGGAAGAGGTCAGAGGGGTAGGAAGGAATGCGGTCTTCAGGTCAGGATCGTCGATCGGACGGCCATCGAAGGGGTGGGAGAGGATGTAGAGGGATTTGGTGAAAAGTTGTGATTGTTCGCGGATTGAGTGTGCGATCGCGGTGGTGAACTCGCCGGAGAGAGACAGGTCGTCGGTCATACGCTCCGCAAACTCCTCGGGGGAGTTGTGAGGATCATTGATGTCCCACTCAAACTGGTCAATCAGTGTATGTTGGCCAATCGTGATGTTCAATTTCACTAGAATGCGCATCTCATCATTCTTGTAGGCGCTGTAGGGGAGGTGAGGATCCAGTGGCTCTTCTTCCATGAAGATCTGAGGATAATAATCGCAAAGCTGCTCCTGGATACTTGAAGAGATCATCCGTATCAGCGGCGCACACGACTCGATAGGGATCTGCAGATCCTCCACGAGCTTCTCTGCGAACAAGTCGGGAGAAATCACACGATCATGAAGATTCCACGTGAATGTATCACGGATCTTGATCTTTTCCCAGTCGATATCCAAGCGGATTGGCACTAAATCTTCGATTTGTTCATTCTGCGTCTTCAGATCCTTGCGGGAGATCCGGAGTTCCCTCGTCCGCCGGTTCCCGGGACGACGTCGATTCGCAGGATATAATAGCTGGGGATGTTGATTCCGCAGGTCCGTACGCTGATTGCCGAAGCCTTCGTAGCCAACACCATAGAGAGCTGCTGGGTTCATGTGGTTCTCGCGCCGTACGGCCAGGAAGTAATCGCGCTCAGCGCGTTTCTGATGTAGAAGCTCCTGGCTGGGATTTTGCCATGCTGTCAAGGCGGAGTGGTGGAACTCCCGGTTGACATAGTCTTCAAGAAGAATCTTGTCGGCGGGAGTCTCACGTACACGTACGGGGAGGCCTTCTGTCGATTGGGAGGTGTTGATAACAGAGCCATCCCGGGATCGTTTCTTACTCGACGCGGATCCATTGGCACTGTTTGCCTGAGACGAAGGTGATGGATTGCCATTCGACGCGTCATGGGCGGATTCGGTAGAGCCTAGAGACACCCCTGATGCGGCGAGAACAGCCTTTGCGTTCTGCTTTCCCTCTGTAATCGCATCAGATCCGCCCGAACCTTGTCCGGAAGAAGTCTCGGACGCGAGGGCGCCATAATCCCCGCTTATGTTAGACATCCCTGAACCAATCTGTCCGTCGTCTGTCGGGGCGTCAATTGAGAACTGTCCAGGCTGAGAGAGGTCAGGCGAGGGCATGCTGGGGATAGGAAGATTGAAGTGTTCCGCGGTCGTCCTTGGCGTGTCGGGCGAGGCAAAACAGACGTCACTTGCACGGATAGGTGGAGAGATGAGGAGGCACTAATTGAGCGGCGAGGATGGATAACTGAAAATAGACGACACTCAGTCACGGCAGCATCCTTGAAGAAGGACTGCAGGATCGGACGCATCCAAGTCAGCTAGCTGTATGAGAGAGTCCCATATGTAGAAAAGTCAATGGTGGTGGCGACGCGACGGCGCACCGGGCGGAGGCGCGATACGTCGTCGGATGTGCGCAACGGACGAGCATGTCGCAAAGCTACTCCCAGGTGAGTCGCATCAACCAAGTCCTGACTAGAGATCGCTCCGACAGCAAGAGCCGCACGGCCGCGCGGAGTATCAACAGCGAAGAAGGCAATGGATGACTGACGAGCTGGGGAGGGAGGAAGCAAAGAAGACATACCAACCAACCGGCAGAAGGGAAGGAAGGGAATGCAGGACGAATTGGGGACGCGACCGAGCAAGAATAAAGGAAACACGATTAGAACAACAACAAAAAAGAATGATACTAACCAAGAAGGAAGGGGACAATAATATCCGTAATCCGAGCAGAGCGACTCGGGATGGCTGGTACCAGGGCAAGACTCAGGCAGATGTGGATGGGTCTGCGTGCCGGTCTGGGTCTTTCTTTTTGCCTTTCACAAGTGAGGAAACGGACGAGAACCGGGCTAATCAGCTGACGTTTGCTCCCGGGAGGGATCTGGCCGGTATTCGATCACTCTTCCAGCTCCAGCTCCCGATTCTTTTTAATTTCTGGTCCCGAGCTCCCCTGATTCGATCTCCAGATAAGATGCTAGACGCGATCCAATCGTTGGATCGCACAAGAACGTGGGGTGGTTTGGGTGGTTTTGCCCCCGACTTCTTAGTAGTGGCTTTTTTGGCGGGTTTTTCCTTTGCGGCGGGAGGGAAAAAAGAGGAGAGAAGAGGAGGAAGAAGGGGAAACGGGCGCGAGAAAAGGTCGACTGAGAGTAAAGTAGGTAGTAACCAGGTCGCTCTTCTGCGCTGCCCGGCCCGTTACAAGTCTGGTCTGCTCGGGTTCCGTGTGTGAGGGCAGAATGGCTAGGGGAAGGGAGCAGCTAGGCTGGTGCCAGCAGCACCAGCAGAGTCTCCTGCGATCAGCAACCGGTTCGTAGGGTCTTTAGGGACTCTCATGAAGCCATTCCAGATCCATTCTCCTGCTGCTTTGCCTTCTGGTCTGATCGTAACCTTCCTTACGCTGGATACTGTATGCCTGCGGTAATACCGTCCGCTGTCTCGTATGGTAAGCAGCGCGTGTCCGCTCGCTATCCCGCATCGGGACGTCAGGTGACGCCACACCATTCCCGAGTAGGTAAAATGAGGGACGCTAGGGCGTCATTGCCGGCCCTTGGCGTCACCGAGCCGTTTTGATGGTGGATTGACCGGGTCTTCGGATCGGTACGGATGCGTATCAATTCTTTCCTTCCCACTTCTGGCTGATCTTCCGCGAAAATAAAGTCCATCTTCTTAAGTATTCGCGTCTTTCTATCCCTACTGAAGTATGAAAAGCATTCGGGAATTCTGGGGAACAAGAAAGCCAGCTGATGGGGCCTTCGCACTAGTGACTAGTCGTATAACATCACATCGATGACCACCGCCCGATGGTCCGAGTTAAAGACCCCATCGTCGAATCGGTTCGCTAATACTGCATAGCCCTCCACTGCCCATGGCTGACGACCATGGCTAAGAACCTTGTCTGTCGTTGACTCGAGCAGTACGTAGTCAATGCGCGTCGGATCCTGTCCTTCATGTCCAAACCCCGTCCAGGTTTTGTGGTTTCCGTAATGCTCCCAAGGATTCACCAACTTCGCTGCGTCTGCCAAAGGTGACTCCGGCGCCGTCAAGACGGTATACGCCTCTTGGTCTTCCTGACTATTGAAGTCCCCTGTCAGGAACATCCCCGAGATCATGGGGCCAAAGGCTTTCCCAGTCCGATACTCCTGCAACTTGTGCAGAATAATATGGGCTGCTTCTAGTCGGGACCGAGACCCTTGATCGTCCAGGTGGGTATTCATCGCCAAGATCGTCTTGCGACTGGCACGGTGGGTAAAGACACCGATGGTCACGATGCGGATCGAGGCAGCATCCCAGCTCTTGGACGGAGTGTCGGGCGTCTCAGATAACCAGACAGTCTCGCAGTGTCGTAGTTGCCAGATGGAAGGTTGGAAGAGGATAGGCGAATATTCGCCTGCTTTGCAGCCGTCATCTCGTCCCACGCCGATATAGTCCCACGCATTGTTCTGCTTGGAAGCATTGAGTCCAGTGAGAATGTCAACCAACTGGTTGTGTAGGACTTCCTGTAGACAGATAAAGCCTTCCGCATGGCGTGTGTTGTACTGCAGCTCGTTCAAGAGAAGCTGTACTCTGTCTGCCCAGGGGCGCTCGCCTTTGAAAGGTGAGGAGGTAGCATATCGGATGTTGTGTGTAAGGATGCGAAGGGGGAGCTCTGTCGCGACCCTCATGGTGGTTTGAAGGGCAAGAATTACAGTAGACAAGACTAATAATCAGGAAATGAATTACTCACTAGCGATGAACATAATAGAAGAATTGAAACGAAGTTGGGTTAAATACTGAAAAAGGTGAGGGGGTGAGGTCGCCTCCGATGATTGATCTTGTGATTGGACCAGACCTGCATGGGACTCTCATGTAACATCAGTTGAAACCAGTAGGTACGACTACTTAGGGAACACAAGGCTAATTATATGAGTTACTGTTGTGTGTCTGTCATTTAAACAAAAATTAGCTTGAGGAGGATTCCGTCTATCGGGGCATTCTTCGCTGCGGCTTCCTATTCATAATTGAAGGACATGTCGTCTGCTACAAGGCCACCTCCGCCATTACTTCTCTTGAGCGGGAGAGGCCGACACACCAGACACTGAGAATGACTCAATCTATATTAAGTTTCTTTCGCACTATTTGTAATCAGTAGTCACGTAGAGAAGTAGTATTTTAACGTTTCTGAAAGTTTTACACCGTTGTGAAGAGTTACGAATCTTTATTGATCTATATATTGCTGCTAGTAAGGACTCGAGGTTGATAGTATATCATTACAATAGAACATGACTCTGGCTAGTACTGTAATAGCACGCGTCTGCTATCTCTAAAAAACAGTTATTACTAGACACTACAAACACCCGAGATAATATCCGCAGCTTGCTCAGCCAACGCATACACACACGCTTGTATATGTGTGCTCAATGGAGTCGGAATTACGCTCGCATCGACAACTCGCAACCCATCGATCCCTTTGACGCGCAGATCGCCATCAACCACTTTTCCCATGCAAGCACCGCCCGTAGGATGGTACAGCGTCCTATGCTCATTAGCAATGTTCTCTTCCACATAATGTTATGTAGTGTGTCAGAGCAAATATGGGCTTACGCAGCTCGGCGACGGATGAGATCATCGATAGCTTCATCACCCGTATCAGGACCTAAGGGCTGATATTTCTCTTCGACTGTTTCTGAAACAATCATTTCCTGTCCCGCTGGAGTATCACATAAGGCTTCTCGCAATTTCCGAAGTCCCTCACGCAGGACATATCGATCAGCCTCGGTAGCACAGTAATTAGGATCAATGCGAGGTACGCTTCGGACGTCTCGATCTGCTAACTTGATGCTGCCCCGAGAAGTTGGAAGCATACAGGACACGCCTGTCGTAATATGTGTACCGTCTACTGCGATGCTAGGGTCCTGAGCGTTGTGCGCCACATAGACGGTAAAGGTTTCCACATGCACGCGCTGGGAGGTAATAAGCGGATGCCCATCTGGGTTGCAATTGGGGTCGTCCTTGGCCAGTGCTTGCCGAAGACCATCGAGAGGCACTGAATCTAAGGCCACAAAGTCAATGGGATTTCCTCGGAAGAAGGCTGGGTCAGTGAAGGCGGGTGATCCAATTGCTAGCCCATCCTCTGGGTGCTTCAACTGCCACCATTGCGAGACTGCTACATGGTCTGCAAAGTGACGGCCCACATCCGGAAGATCAAGGACAACATTGATCCCATGTGCTTGTAATTCTTCCGCTGAACCGATACCCGACAGCATCATGAGCTGAGGGGTACGATATGCACCCGCAGCAATGATAACCTCTTGACGTGCCATGATCTGGCTTTCGTCCTTATCCTCCAATACTACACCTATTGCAACCTTTTGACTCCCACGTTCCTCCACTAGCACTCGCTTGACCAGAGTTTCAGTCATGATTTCCACATTTAGCAGATAAATGGAGCTCGACATTTGTCGCATCCCGTTTTCGCGATTCTCAACAACTTCAGCCAGCCCATAAGGACTGCCAGAGTTGATGTCGGGGTTATATGTTACACCGACGGAATTCCAGGCCTCTTGCACCAGTTGACGAAGAGGGTACCTGCGGCCTGTAGACGAAACGGACTCAGTTTTGATAGGGCCATTAAAGCCATGAACTTCGGGGTCGGCCGAAGGATCGAAGTGATGCTCAAGCTTCCGGAAATAAGGCAGGAGACCTTGGTAGCTCCATCGAGAGTCACCGACTAAGCTGGCCCAGAGGTCATAGTCTTCTTTTGCACCTCGCATCCATCCGCCTAATTGCACCACATAAAAGTCATCAGCTCTGGACTGTATAACAAAATAAAACCACCGTCGCCACCTTAAATTCTAGGATTCCGATCTATGATTGCTAAAGCTCACCACTGTTGATTGTGGTACTACCACCCAGAGCCTTCCCCGCGTGATTTGAGAGTACACGATCAGAAAGATGTTTCTGCGGCACCGTCTCGTATGTCCAATCAAGCTCTGACTTAAGTAACTGAGTGGCTTTACTTCCGTCTGGTACGAGGGGGTGGTTGCTGGCATCAGGGCCAGCTTCGATAAGCAAGATCGACAAAGAGGAGTTGTATTGCTTCAGCCGTGAGGCTAGGACACAGCCAGCTGTACCACCACCGACAATAACGTAGTCAAATTGCTCACTTGTAGTCATATTGGTATCCACAGGGGCTGGTTTAGATTAGGGGGCGTTAGCACGGTGGGGTATAAAAAAGGGATATTATACCTGGGGTTCCGAGGGAGTATAGAAGTCGATCACAGAACTTCTACAGCGATCAAAGGGGCACTAACCCCGCTCGTCAGCCTAGTCAGCATTTTCTGTTCAAATACACCAAGCAGAATAGCTGTTGCTGGAATGGAAACTAGATCCAGCATATACCTTAGGGATCTCCATAGGCATTTGGTGACGTCAATTAAGGCCGCCAGCTCCATCTTGACCCGATTTAATGGTCTGACCGGTGAGAAGATGAGCCTGCCCGAGCGCACCCCGGCCAAATTTAGCCCGTATACACCCTGTACATTGTAGGTACAAGATGCGCCGAAGGATGGCAGAACACGAGGTAGTGCATGACAAGGCTGCGAAAAGAAGAAAAAAAGACCCCCAATCCCACCACGGGAACTTGCATGTAAGTCAGATTTTAGCCTGTTGGTGAATGATTGGTTGAGGGACGGAACGCGTGTGATGAAAGGAATGTCACTCTTGTTTCAGCCCAAGCGGAAACACATTTGGCAGTAACGAAGGACAGAATGTCGTATGGGAGTTGCGACTAGAAAGTTTATCTGGAAGTGGGTGGGGATGCTACAATTTTTATTGTCATTTTCGCTATCATTTTCTGCCTGGTCTTAATCGATCCAGTCTGCCCACTGATGACCGTTCAACTGACCATTCAGTCTGCACTCGCACTGCGCCCGGCTCTAACGATAGAAAAGGATCTGGCTGTTGTGCCTGCCCGATTGCCTCTGTCCAATTGGCCCCGAACCCTCGAATGATAGATCGAGATGAGTGGACTGAGCCTGTCTCCGTGACTGCCGTCTTCGATGTTAATGTTTGAGTGCATTCATGCAAAGTCGCTGGTCGCAGACGCTTTAGCAAGTGACATGAAGGGTTGTATGCTGATCGTTCGTATGGACCGTTCTCCATAGAATGGAACGGAGCGAGCCAGTCGAGCAAAGGCCATAGCACAGGAGAATTGGCTATCATAAGCGCCACCGTCCACTCCACCGTTGTCCAAATGCTGATCATCTTGCCATGGTCGTTAATGGCAGTAAAGTCCGTTCTGGCGATGGTTACTGTGCGGACCGCAGTAATGGCAACAACACTGTTTGGAAGCAGGTTAGTACCCGGCCTGCTTGAAAGAGGCAGTGTCGAGTTACTTACAATAACCCCAAAATCAGAAGACTGATCATTACTAGTTTCTCCGGTCGGGTAATCTTTGTTCTTATAATTCTAGGCAGCGGCAAAATCAAAATTGCGGCATTTGTCACAACGTCAATGATGCTCACTGCCATAAAGGCAGCATTTCGATTGATGCAGTGGCCTTCCGAATGTTGCAGGTTCCAGTTGTAGCTCAATGGGCGACAGTTCAAGAGGCTTATGAGGGTAGCCCCAAGGCTCCAGGAAATGCAGACCGCCATGATGACCAAGATCGCATGTCGAGCGGCCTTGGATGAAGCAGCAAGGGATCTGAAGAGGGCCATCAAGATACTGCATTTCACCAAGCCCAGTCCTGTGGCGTAAGCCAACCGAAGATAGTAGACACACTGTATACAGTCATTAGTATCGAAGCGTTGGCAGCCTATTGGGCGCATACATACCTTGAGTGTGAAAGTAAGCCGCCAGCTCTGTGTCTGAGACGTTGGGTAGCCACCGTGCCCGATTGTCAGAACTAGTAGGCAAATGCGACATCCGTTAGAATTTAACAAATCCTATTCTAGGGTAGTCGCGAAAACATACTCAAGAAGGTCGCCACGGCGTAAGAATAGAATAAGAGCTGCAACGATCCCGTCAGATATTGAGCTAGAAGGACCAAGATAAAATCCTTTTTGGATTATTGGCGAGGAATTTGTCAAGAAGACTTACCAGAGACGCGAGCATCATGGATTCTGGCATGGAGAATAACGGCCTTCGTCTTCTGGACAACCAGAAGCGGAGACCTGTGGTGAGCGTTGCAAGGAAAAGACACACAGCCAAGGTGATAGCTACATCCCTTCCATCATGAGACAACTCTGCTGTGCGCTTTCCTATTGCCTCTGTAATCGAGCCCATGATGCCGGCTGCGGGCACTGATAAAACGCACCCGTGTAAAGGGAAGGGTGACACATCGGGAGGCCGATACAACGATGCCTCTCAAGGACATTGCGCTCGTCTGACGAGGAGAGGGGCGTATATAAGACCGTAACTTCGCATCCTGTCAGAACGCATTGTTGATTAGGCCTTCGCCCCCAAACTTTTCAAGCAAACTCAACGCTGGGGCGGTATAAGGGGCCCGTCAGAGAGAAGGTAAGCCCCGAAAATCTGCAGGACATCCATGTGGTGGTCACACATGGGCGGGGGGGCCAAATCCTGCAAACTTCGGGTAGGCTGGAAGGAAGCCATTGATCAATAAAAGTAGCCATGAAGCGTGGATGGTGGATGCACGTTAGCGGGCCATGAGGCAGTGACAGACTTGGACACTCCACCTTCTCTTACTTAGTATTATTGCTGCACAGATGGCTGGGTGTGCCCATTGCCTTGCAGGGTTTCTAT